CCACCCCGAGGGGGTTAACTCCCGGTAAATCATTCGTAGCCATTGTGGTGGCTTCGTGAGAGAACGAGAGGAAAAGAATGGGGCTCTCGAAAAAGAAAGAAAGAAGAAGAAGAAGAAAAAGAAGAAAAAAAAACATAGAAAACAGAAAGACTACTACGGAGAAAGTCAAGTGCAAAAGAGTGTGTAAGAAGTGGGGGAACGGAATAAAAGTGAAAAGGTAAGTGAGAATTTCGTGGACTCTCGTGTGACCACTTATATCGTCGAATAAAAAAACAAAGAAAGAAAGAAAGAAAGAGTAAAAAAGGCAAAGCGTAATAGAACACGTCGAATGTTTTATTATTTCTCGTAAAGCGTAACCGATGAGAATTTAGAGTAGAATTTCTCTCGTCTTGGGGATAGTATAACCCCACCACCCCCTGCCCAACCATTGCTGAAATTAGAGAAAACGAGATATTTATGAACGTGACCGTGAAAAATTGAGAATTTTTTTTCGCGAGGTTGTGTTTATTAAAATACGAGAAGCGTATAAAGAGAAAAGTCATTTTTACTGATCGATCGTCGGAGAAGAGGAAGAAGAAGGAATAACAGAAGAGAAGGTGGCAAGGGGAAGGGGAAGGGGGTGGTGGAGGTGGGCTCGTGCTCTTTTTTGGGATCGCGCAAGAAAGAAAGAATACGATGCGCAGGTGAGAGGGTATATATATAAAAAAAAAAAGGAAAAAGATACAGAATAAGAGAGAGAATGAGTGAGTGAGTGAGAAAGAGAGAGAGAGAGAGAGAGAGAGAGAAAGAGGGGGGAAGGAGGGGGGTAGGGAGAGCATCGAGTTGTCCAACCAGCGTGAACGTAGTCGCGGACTGCCCACTGCGGCTCATTGGCCGACTTGTCGAGTGCGAGACCTCGACCGAACGCTATCGCTTTTATCGTTGTTCCTTCTGCAACCGAATAATCTCACGTCTTGATTCGTTAACATTGATTTTTCCGATCGTCCACGTATATCATATATCTTATATCTTTCGCGATAGAAATAGAAAGTATTTTTTCTTCTTCGTAATACCGTACCAAAGAAATTTCAACGAAATACAAAAAACAAAAAAAAACATGATCGGGACAATTTGGAATACATTAGGAGAAAGTTTTTTCCTATTTTTTGTTACAAAAAGAAAAAGAAAAGAAAAAGGGAAGAGAAAGAGAGAAAGTAAAAAAAGAAAAAAAAAAAGGGATTTTAGGAAATGGTACGAATTCTTTCTATAAACAAACTTCGGAAGGGAACGATTTTAATCGATGTTACTTTAAACGATTTGATTTGTTACCGAATAGAAGAACCGAGACTCGCTACTACTATTCTTATTTTATTTTATCCTCTTTCTCTTGTCTAAGAAAGCTAAACGCCGTAAAATCGAGTCGAGAAAAACGCTGCTAGTGGACGAGAAAAGATAGAAAGAAAGAAAGAGAGAAGGAAAGAGAAGAGAAGAGAAGAAGAAGAAGAAGGAAGAGGAGGAGGAGGAGGAGGAGGAGGAGGTGGACTTGAAAGGAAGGCAAGGAAGAAACGTGGAACGAAGCTCGTGTATTCCCAAGTTCTCCCCGTGTCCTCGCGTTTCTCCGGATACCACCGAGCAACCAACCGAACGAACGAACGAACGAACGAGTAAAAGAGAGAAAAGGATAGAGAAAAGAAGGAATATCCGCGAAGTCTCTCTCGAGAAAGAGAAAGAGAAAGAGAGAGAGAGAGAGAAGAGAAACCTGCCGACTTACAAATTATACGCGCTCAACGAGATTTACGGGTGACGCTTTGAGCGAGACCATTGTCCATCCTCGCTCACTTCTTTGCCTCTTTACTCCTCCACTCTCTTCTTTGGTCGTGTCTTTGTCCACGCGAGGGGATCCTTTTCTCATCCAGAACGTTCCCGAACGTCTTTTCTACGCTTTCGTCCCTTTCTGTCCTCTTTCCAACTAGCTAACCGTAAGATAAAGAAGGAGAAAGAAAGGGGGTAGTATTCGTCGCGAAAAAACCGGAGAATGCCGATCGACGAAAGAGAATCCGGTTCCGATCGGAGTAATCGGGTCCCGCGGTTCTCTCTCTCTCTCTCTCTCTCTCTCTCTATCTCTCTCTTTCTCTCCCTCTCGTGAGAAGGACGTTACTTGCAAACTCGATGACGGACGATCTACGATTTACGATCTCACGGAACGTCCCGCAAAAATCTACTCAAATCTTTCATGGAAAAAGTTAGTGAGTGAGTGAGAGAGAAAGAGAGATAGAGAGAAAGAGAGAGAAAGAAAGAAGGAGAGAAGCAAATAATCCAAAGTATCGTGAAAATCGTCTTTAACATCGTAAGTTTTTTAAAGGCCTTATATCTACACTCAACAGACAGACAGGCAGACAGACAGACAGATACATACACACACATACACAAACAAAATATATGTTTTAAGTTCGAGTCGAGTCGAGTCGAGAGTCTTGACGAGGGAAGAAAATTTCCCTCTCCCCATCCCCCCCACCCCACCCCCTACTTCCCATCTCTCTCTCATCCGAGTGGAACGTCGTCGAATACCTGTTATCAAAACAAACGGTCTACCTTCCTAATATATTTATCAAACACGCGTCATGTGGTGCGACGGCGAGGGCTGCGACGGTGATAGAAACACCGCAAGACGAGTGGATGGGAACAGGTAAGAACTTATAACTGCTACGACTAACGAGGTGCGGCTGTACAACACATCGTGCCCAACAAGCACAGAAATCCCCGTTTAAATCGTAAACCAATATTTGAGGGGCCTTTTAAAAGGCCTCTCTTCTATCCCTCTCTACACCCTAGTCGTCTTATCCTTCTCCACCTTTTTAGCCCTTTACGAGTGCAACGCGCTACGATTTACCTATTCAAGGTCGCTTATAAGTATACGTATTTTTTTTTATAAATTTCTTTATATTCCTAAAGATCTCGATTTTGTTTTACTCTGTTCGACTGGAAATGAAGAACGACTTGTCTTCTTAAACGTTGTTACAACGTGTTACATAGGCGGAAACTATTAATCAAAAATTAGCACGAACGTTCGAATTACTTTTCGAAAGAGATAGAAAGAGAGAGATAGAGAAACTTAGAGATAGAAGATGACAATTCATCTCCGGATGCTGAAATCTCTCTTCCTCTCTCTCTCTCTCTCGGGTGGCAATTACGCGATAAGGTTATATCGTCGTGTAAACATTTACATACCAAAGTGGAGTACACAGCGCCTACTCCGAGCTACTGAGTAATTTACCGTTTCTCAACGTACAATTCTCTTTTTCTTTCTCTCTCTCTCTCTCTCTCTCTTTATTTCTTTCTCTTTCGTTCGTTCGTCTTTCCATCCTTCTCTTTTTCCATCACACGAGAGAGCCGCCGGTACGCATAGTACGTTTCCTTTTTTTTTTTTTTTTTTTTTTTTTTTTTTTTTTTTTTTTTTTTTTTCTCTCGAACGTTTGTTTTTTTTCCCATTTGCCCCATTTGCGAATGACATACCTTCGCTAAATAAAGAAGAAGAATTTGCAAGGAATAGGTAGGAGTAATCTAGCAAAAGTATGTTGATAAATTACCTCGATGAATAATTCATTGGCGAAGGCGTAAATCTTAGACGTTACCGACCGACCGATTGGAAACGAAACTGCGCTTTAACGCGACCACAACTATATACGCTACACAACGAATAAATATCTACTTTCGATCGTCTCACGCACGTAGATCTACGTTTGATATAGGGTAAGTGAATAATCGTGAAAGGATTTACTGCACCGTTAATCGTTTTTAACGCGAAGGGTAATAATACTAAACGGGATAGGGAGGAGAAGGGGAGAGGGAGTAATTGATAAACTAGACGTCAAGCTTGAAAACCTCGATCATTTCTCTACAATGAATTTACGTTGAGCTCGTAGTTTCTTAAAAAGGAAACACACCTTTTTTTATATTTCTTTCGTCACATCTAATTAACGTTTAACGTAAGATAACTCATAATTGAAACAACTGTAAGTAACACATTTTTACGAGGTTCGTTATCGAATATTAATTAAAAAGGAAACATAATGATCTATCGCGTAACGATTTGTTTCAATTATATCAATTTGCGAATTCGTTTGAAATCGGATGATCGTCGTCGTGACGATTTGATAAATTTGACGAAAAAGAATGAATACGATATAATAAAGAGAGTTAAAAATTGTGAATAGAAAAAGTAAGTAAGTAAGTAAGATCGAGAAAAGATAAGGTGTTCCGTGAACAGATGTGGTATATTCCAGACAAAACTCGTCGTCGTCGTCGTCGCGTCGCATCGCGTTAACTTTTCTCCGCTTCTGTCGTTTTTAAAAGAAAGTCGTCAAGGTTAGTAGCACTTCAAAAAAAAAAAAAAAAAGGAAACAGGTGTGTGTGGGGGGGGCGGGGGTAAAGAGTTTTTCCTAGATATTTTGTCCGTTCTATTATTTTTCTTTTTATACCTAGCTGTGTACTTTACAAACGCTACCAACAGCAGATACCGAAAAAACCTGCGTATTAACACGCAGATGCGTTTGCGTTGTTTGTTTGAACCGTAGTTTTTATTTTATGGTCGTCACGTGTCGCGGCGCTAAGGACAGTCCCTTCTTTTTAACTGTTAAAACACCTCATCTTCTTTCTACCGCGTGCCTGCTCTTTATCTCCTACCTTTTTTCTTTTTTCTTTTTTTTTTTTGTCTACTCGAACGTCAACGAGAAACGTTCAACGCTTTTCGAACGGGTACGACTTTTCTTTTCTTCGGATAACGGTTTGACAATGAAACGCGATAACTACACTGAATTTATTATCAAAGAAACTCCACGCTTTTCTTCACAAATTCCAAATGACTCGGGTTCTCGAAACGAGGACAACTCATTTTTCCAAAAGCAAAAAAGAAAAAATTTGTATCTCTGACATGTGACATGAAACAGATCGCGCGAAACCGAAGAGAAATATAATATTTATCGTATAGAGTGAAAATAATTCTAATGAGAAAGAAAACTTACCAAAACGATCCGGTAATCGGGGTGACGAGGAGGAGGCAGATCGCAAGGAGAACGGGGCGCATCTCCGTCCCCTCTGCCCCTCTTTTACAAACTCCTTCCTTCCTTTTATATTTTATTTAATCTTCCTTGCGTTGTGGCGCACACCAAAAACTCCCTTTTACGAAAGATAATTCGAGCACCTTTCACCTTACGATAATCTAACCGGTGTTAACGCGATAATATTAAAAATCACTATCCTCCCCCCCTCCTTCGACGAATGATCTCCAACGATACGTTATTTCTTATGTTATGTTATTTAATGTCTCCTTCTTCCTTAGATGCGAGATACGAAATTGGACCGAAACTGTTAGTCGTGTAATCGACGAATGATTGACGCTACGATGACGTTCTTTCTCTCTGGGTTACGCGTGAGAAAAGAAGTAGTAGAAAGGACGGAAAGATCAAGTCGAGAGAAACGGATAAGGAAGGACGAAACCTTCATGACCGAGAGAAGACCCCTCTCTCTTTCGGTTTATCTGTCCCCGTTCGGTAAACGCATCTTCCGGATCGCGAGAGGGATCGATTCTCGCGATTCGGGGAACCGTCCGGAAGAACTTTGACTTCCGGTCTCGTGAAAGTCACTAGCCCCTCTCTCTCTCTCTCTCACTCCTCGTATCCCCACCACCCTTTCTCGAGGACGGACTCGTTCCTCTTCTTCCCTCTGGGTTTCTCTCACTCTCTCTCTCTCTCTCTCTCTCTCTTTCTTTCTCTTTCTCTCCCTTCCTCTCCCAAAGACACCGGCCACCGCGAAGAACGCGAGAAGAAGGGCAGCCAGGCAAGCAGTCGTAGTAAAACGGATCGTAATAAAACGGTCTTTTCTTCCGGCGGGGACAAAAACGCGTCGCGTTCCTGCCAGAACTACGTCACCACGATCTTTGAGTGTTGCCTTACCCCCACCCAACCGAGTTCTGGGCAGTAGAGAAGAGTTACCCCCACCAACACGACCAACTTCTTCTTCTTCTTCTTCTTCTTCTTCCTCCTACTTCACCACCACCACCACCACCACCACCACCTCCTGGTCCACCATCTCAACCTCTTACTCCTTTCCTTTCGTACTTCTTCTTCTTCTTCTTCTTCTTCTTGGCCTTCTTCCCCAGAAAAGAGCCGCCGCCGCCACCATAGCCACGTCGTCCACCATCGTCACGATTAAAACGCAACAACAGCACCGCGAAAGAAAGAAGTAGAAAATTAAGATTCGTACGAACTGTTCATAATGAAATTGTTTATATTTTTTGATTGATAAGAAGAAGAAGAAGAAGATAGAAGAAGAAAGGAAGAAGAAAGAAGAAGAAGAAGAAGGAATAAATAAGCACGCACCTTTCTCGAAATAATATTACAAAAGGAAAGGGCAACAACGACGGCACGTGCATCGTACGTGTCCGTCCGAGGAGGTGGAAAGACAGACGCATTTGCCGCTCCACCGGAGAGAGGGAAAAAGATGGAAAGAAAAAGAGTGGGAGAATATGAGAGATAGATAGAGATAGATAGATGAAGAAAGAAAGAGAGAGAGAAAGAGAGAGAGAGAGGAGGCCGCGATCGCTCTCCGTGCGAGACTGTTGCGAGCCACGAAGAGAGAGGCAGGTGAGCGCCGCACGGCGGCGCCGAGCAGCAACCGCACCAGCTCTTCTTCCCCTCTTTCTTCCCCCCTTTTCGACCAATGTCCCTTTTCCTCGAATAAAACTTCAAGATTCTGCGATAGACAATAATCTATTATGGTTGAGTGATAGAGACGACAAGATTGGGTGGGTCCCTAGTTCATTTCTCAGTTTTAACCCCCTTACCTCCCACTCACCTTCTTTTTTGTAAATATCATCTTTCTGATACAACGTATTGAAATGACAACTTTAATAATAAGTTATGTATATGTTATATTATATTATTGTTAAAATAGAAACGATAATAATAAGGATAAAAAAAAGAGAGCAAGTGGAACGTGTTCTGGTGGCGTTGTTCATGGTGGTCAGAAAAGGTTAGGGAAGATTCAGCAGGGGGGCCCCGCATTACAGCTCATTTAGCAGCGGGTTCCTTTCTTCGGCGCCCCAAGAGAGATCATCACCGTACCCAGGGATCATTCTCCTCCTCCCTTTCCTTTCCATGATACATCTTTCTCGATTTCGCGAGATTGTAAAAGAGAAAAGTTTCATACTGAAGACCGAGGGAGGAAGAAAAGGGATGACGAGATACGAACGGAACAGGGGGATGCTCGACCGAATTGTCTTGGCAAAGACAACTCGCGCGACCAACAGAAACACGGAATATAGCCAGTAATTTATGGGTGAGACTAATTACCGGGGAATGCAGCTCCTCCGAGACTGTTCTCTGTTCCCTCTGGTCCGAGAGTTAGCCAGACCAGTTTTCAGAGACGAGGAGGACGAGATGGAACTATCCCAAGCCCACTACCATTCTTTCCTACCTCTCTTCTCCTCTCCTTCTTTCTTTCTTTCTTTCCTCCTTCTTCTCCTTCTCCTCACCTTACCTCAGCTTACATCTCCTCACCTCTCTCTCTCTCTCTCTCCCACACATATTTTTTCGAGTTTCTCTTCGTGAGTTATCCTTAACGCGCGTTTATACTCGCGGTTACGTACCATCGTCTAGTTCGTGATAGGAATTTCAAATTGCGACCACCTATCCAAAGGAGGATCGCAGGACGACGGTCATCTCGTCGGTACGTATCAGTAGAATGATGATAATGAAAGGAGGAAGAAAGATCGGGCGTGTTCCCACGCGCCGTCGCATTGAACGGGAACACCACGATGATGGTAGTGGTGGTGGTAGTAGTAGTAATAGTAGTAGTAGGGTGTTGGAACAATACCCCGACGACGTTCGACGTCCCTCATTTCGACATTAGCCTGAGCCAGCAATTTCGTGCTGAGGTGAGCTGAGCTAGCAGGCAGCTCGATGGATTCGTTGCTACCTCGGTCCGATTCTTCTTCGTTAAATGCCATTATACGTTTCACTCGAACACCCGGTCGCCGCATGAGTCGTGAATTCCTGAGAACCTGCTCGTCTTACCTGCCGCCGCATCACCCTCTTTTACCGCGTCTTTGCTCCTCCTACTAACTGAACAAATTCAACGACAACGAGTTTGTGTGTATTATCGACTTTGCTCGTCTCTGCGAAATAACTCAGACTAATATGTCTCTTTCTCTCTCTCTCTCTCTCTCTCTCTCTCACTCACTTTCTTTAAAGTCTCCTTGACCCTACGCCGCTACGAATCTACGAAGGAACGTTGTGGGATGGTGAAGGGGGCCCGTGCAGGACGAACGGAACGGTCGGACAGAAAAGAAGGGGGACTACACTTTTTGCGAAGGATCTCGCGAAACAAGGCCGTCTTCGTCGTCGTCGTTGTCGTCGTCGTCGAAAAGCAAAGCAAAGCAAAGCAAAGCAAAGCAAAGTCCTCTGCAACTCGTGACCGAGTAGCCGAAAATCTTGGCTGGTTGAGACCGTGCCGGTGTCATCGGTCCCACGAGAAGGAGGAAGAAGAAAGAACGTTCTTAGCAAAGATCGAGGCCCTTTTTCTACTCGGGGCCGCTTCTTCCACGCTTGACGTTTCCTCGATTTATTACGCCCCTCTTAGCTCGTCATCTCGAACTTACGATATACTCGTGGAATTTTGCATTCGTCGTCTATCTTTGACGATGTTTAAAACGAACTAAAGGAGGATGCATTCCATTCGAAAGAGGCTATCGAGGATAGTTGGCTACTTTAAACACCACCACTACCACCACCACCATCACCATCGTCGTTGTCGTCGTCGTTGTTGCCGTCGTCGTCGTCGTCGAGACAACCGACAACAGAAACTCGTTCGAGACGTCGAACTTTTTGTCTTCACCGAAAAGATCTCCGTCCAATCGTCTCTCGAAAATACCTAAATTGAAAGAGAACACGAAAGAAATAAAAAGAAAGAGAGAGAGAGAGAATCTGAAGTATATTATACGTTGACGTGGTGGGTATAGAAACTTAGCTCTCGGGGAATATAAGCATTGTGGGTAGAAATACTTGTATAAAGGTCTAACGGTGTTCCGTAACCGTAACGAATATCAAAATACGTGGAGAGCAATTTTCACGGACGTTCGGAATAAAACAGCGAAATACGCTATCGTCTATTTCTCCCCAATTATCTGTAGGCGGTGCTAGACTGGCTGCTCTCAGGTGGTTTCGAAATTACGGAGGCAACGTCGTTAATTCGAGTCGGGAGATACCGATCAGTCTTCTCTCTCTCTCTCTCTCTTTTTCTCTCTAAGCGACGACGTTATACGGCGGCAGAAGCCTTAAGCTTGCCGTTTCTACGGTTAATAAGCGCGGCAAATCCGATGCGAACCGTTCTCGAAGATCTCTCCATCTCTCTCTCTATCTCTATATCTATCTCTATCTCTCTTTATCTCTAACATTCGCAATTCTGCTTTTGCGATCAAAGTGGGTAAACGGATGCCCGAGTAAACCCGCGCCGTTGCAATTACACGCCACTTACGAGAGTTGGCCTTAAGACGATTCACGCGGTGCATATTCTCTATCTCGCACACTCTGATTCTGTTTATTTCCATGTGTATGCGAGATAGGTGAACGCGCCCGCGTCGTCTCTCTTGCGTTCGTCTTTCTCTAGCGAGTTTCCACAATGGTAATTACGAGACAGTACGCTCGTAAATTTCACGTAGGCTAAACGTTAAACGTAAGTATACCTACCTGCCGGCGTGTGTTCAACGTGCACTGTTGCTCCTGCTCCTGCTGCTGCTGCTGCGTGGCTACTTTCTATTTCCCATAAGATCCAACCATATAGGAGACGTCGATATGTGTTTCGCCATACCACAACGACGACGACAACGACGACAACGATGGATCGAGAATCGAATAAAAGGGTAAGGAGGCTAACCGGCCGATCGAACTACGATCGAGTTAGAGACCCCTCGCACTGTTTTTCCACTTGTCGTCCTCGTTGCTGTTCCTCTTTCTCGATTATTACTTTGCCACGCATTATTCTTCTTAGATCTTTACAGGATGTTGCATAAGTACACGCACGGTCATAAGTATAACTATTTATCTATCTATCTATCTATCTATCTTTGCTTTTTTTCTGAGCTAAATAAAACTGTGCCGAGCCGACGGCACGTTTCAACGAAAGCGAGATCTCGCGAATCGAGAAGATTGCTCCTTGAGAATAAATAACGGCCTTTCTCTCAAGTTTAGTAGTTTCTCTACTTTTTGCATTTACCAAACGACGATTCTCCTTTTTGCGTCGACCTGTACATACGTATCTACGTTTTAACGTTTCTACTATATCGTGATATCATTGCTTCTCTCTCTTTCTTGATTTCTTTATCGTTCCGGTATCCCGTCGTCGTTTCATCCTTTTTATCTATTTTTTTTCTTGTTTTCTTTTTTTTTTTTTTTTTCGGTCGAGACATAAGAATACGAACGGTACACGGATCTCCTATGAGAGTATAAACTCGTGAATAACGCAACGACACAAATAATAATACATACGTAGTTGTTTCGCTTGTTCATAGTGTGTCCCGATCGTCTAGGAGAAAACCACGGCCGCTATTCCTCAGACTAAGTTAGGTTCGTAAAGTTCACACACAGCTTTTAGCGAGATGGATCGTTTTAGGAGCGGCGAAACGATGTTAACGAAAGGGGAAAGGTGAC